AGCCGATCTCCGGGTCTGGCGGTAGCACTTTTAGCTGTAGCTTAGCATAGATCATTGAATCTGATTAGACCGTTAGCATCTCGCTCAAAAATGACCAAAGAGTATCTTTATTTTTCCTATTTAAAACTTGACTCTTCTGTAGTTAGATTGTGTACTAAGGCCGACGGAAAATGAAAAGTTGCGATTTTCTAGGCCACATATAGTATTCTTTATACTAACTCTTATCTGGCTGACTGCACTAGTGGTCTTCAAGATTCAGACGCCATGAGTGAAGGGTGTAAAAGCCTTGATCAGAGGCATTTTCAATATATAGGACAGTTTTTGGAATATTGTAAAATACTGTATATTCTGTGAATATTGTATGAAATGCGTAGAGAATTTAAGTTGAACTCCATAAAAAGCTTTAACTAAACCAAATATTTATCAGAAGATTATACACCATTTAGAAGATAATTTAAAAATCATAAAGGCAAATATGAATGAATTTACAGATATACATGCACAAGCGCTTTCCCAGAATTGGCCTTTTAAAAGATAGTTGCAAAATAATAAGTAGTAGATTCTAGTGGTCTAATAGTTTTTTTTTCCACCCAAATTTTGATGTTTGATACTGTTAGAGTCTGTACAGATAATTGCAGATAATTATAATAATAAGCATTTTATGAGTCAAAAATGGACTTATAGATTTTATAGAATGTGACTTTGAAATGCTGGGCATTATTATTCAACATAAGTATAAACGGTAATGATTTCAGCAAACAACAGACTGTTATATTTTGATATTTTGTTCTCAAATTTAAAAATCAAAACGAGCATTTGTTGAGAAGGATTCAATGTGCCTAGTCACAAAAGATGTACATAATCTAATGCCAAAGAATGGGCATTTACTTTCCTGTCTTTTAATGTTACAGCAGCCCCTGCGGTGTGTATATTTAGGTACTAACCTACCACTAAAGTGAACACAAAAATCAACATTTCTCCCAAAAAAAACATTAACAATTTGGGATTTTGTGTAAAACATACACACCGATAGCCTTGAAAAGTGCACGAAATGTATGAATGCAAAGCCAGAGTAATCCCACCGTCAAAACTTTACATGAATGTCAGAACATTATAAGTGCCTTAATTTTGAGTATATGCATTATTTCAGAGATAAAATGAGGCAAGAAGGGAAGTGGTGTTTGCTTTGCTTTTGGCACAGTATATACACACTGATGTGAAAATCTGCCAAATCCGTGCATCTAGTTGTTTGTTTTTAGTATCTAATGTTGCTTTTTTTGTTTGTGTATTGCTTGCTACAGACTGTACCTATAGAATGTACTTTTTTCAAACATTAATTTCATTGTAAACTTGTATAAATGTCTCCTTTAAGTGGAAAGAGAGTAAGAATTTAAACATTTATTTGTGTATAAAGTTATATTTTTCTAGAGATATATACATAGAGCCACCCTATAATTCTATTTGCATACTGTGAATTTTTGTGGGCATATTTCTATATAATGTTGCGTGTTTTCTCTAAATCTCAACATAGTCCATAATGCTGAAGTGAGCTGCATTCCTGCATTCACTGATATTTTCCTGACATAGTCATATAAAATAAGATGTTTTATTATAGATATATATTTTTTACAAGTATCTTTTATAGGAGAACACTATAATATTTGGAATATAAAATATATTTTGATGATGCAAATGTTTTGATCTCTCTTTTAAGCTCTTTAAGTATCTGTTAAGTGTGTGTTTGGTCACACTGTAAGCTCTGTGCATCCATGTTTGTTGGTTTAAATGGATGAGTATATGTATAGTCCTTGTATTGTGTCTTTTGGGAATGTTTAAAACAATGCTGTCTTGTCTAACAGAGTTTGAATCACTGATAAGTGTAATCGAGGGTCGTTTAATGGCTCTAGAGTTAACCCCTTACTGGGTTTATCATAAGGCCTTTCTCTCATTCCAGTAAACACTCTGTCTCGTGATAAACTCTTTATTTTAAACTAAGTTCAAACCACTGTGTTTGACAGTGTTGTTCCTCTACGTTTAATGATGAAATTGATTGTGCTGTCTTTCTGTTTGTTATCTACCTCATTTGTGTGTCTATGTGTGTATAAGGTTTCATTGTCTTGTCATCAAGAATATATTACTGTACATATTGTGTAGAGCTTGATGTTACATAAAATATATCACATCTTACAGATTTGACAGTTCACTCTGTATCAGTCACAAAATCAGTCGTAAATGTGAACCTATCAGAATTAGACTTCAAAATATTCAGACTGTCTTGCTCTGAAACGATTATTTGTGACAATTTTTGTGTTTTTTTCCCCCTCTTCCTCCAATGGTATGTGAAATCGTGCAGTGTTTGTAAATATAATGTGCTGTATATATGCATGCTATATGTATGCTCTGTATATATACCAAATAAATTCTTGTAATCTTTCAGGAGTTTGTTTGTGTGCTCATTTAAAAGTATGCACTGGGCCCTACATTTTGTCCACTAATGGAGAGGGTCAACGAGGACATTTCTTAGGCAATGTACTTTTTATTTTTTTTTAGCACTCAATTCTTCTGTTAACATAAAACATTTTCTCTCTCATTGCTATGTAGATTGCTTGTATAAAGTATTGTTATCCTGTGTTAGGACTGTTTAGTAACTGTACTGTTTGACAATGAGTTCATTACTTGATGTAGACCATCTGGCATCCACACCGATGAACATATGGAAATGTGCACACATATATGCATACACTGACATATACAGTACAATTTAATGACTTTTAACATAGCCAATATTGGCCTTTGCCAAAATTTGACTGGACAGCATCAGAATTAATTTTTTAAAAACCCAGTGTGGAGCAATGAACATAAAATATGACCACCTTCTCAGGGAGGAGCCCAGACTGTCAGTCTACTTGATCAACCGACTGTGTCATTTATGGGAAGTTTCCATGAAGGCACTTTTCCAGAATAATATTAATTTAAAAGAAAAATAATTTGTCAAATTGTTTATCAACTTTCTTTTTTTCCCAGTTTGAGATCATGATGACCAAATCACAATAGGTTCCAGAAAAAAAAATGTACTAGGTGGGGATTTACTTGATATGGAACAGGCTTTGAGTCTTAATCAACAATGACTCAATGTAGGTCACCAGAGTTATTTTGGGTTTAGGTGATGTTTCAAAAGAGAGTGAGGAAAAGGGTTGACTGATGTTGAGGCCCATTGTTGATATTCACCGTTCAACCACTTAAAATAGTCAAGTGGAATATATAAAGTGGAACATAAATAATATACCATGTAAAGACATAAAATTAGAAGCTCGTCCAGGAAGATTTTTAACTCCTAAAATACTTTATGTTAAACTATGTTCTTGATGTAGTTCTTGACAAACTATAAACTCCAAACTGCTTTAAACATTTTAAAAAATATACAATTTATTAGCCTTATGTGTTGTCAGACATACCTATAGCATAATTACATTTTAGATGTGATTTATTTTAGTTAGTTAGTTATGTTTTGTTTCCTGAGCCTCTGAATATCACTTTGGGTTCTTTGTTGCATTGATGGTCCAATAAAGAAATGAATATAACTTAGTTCCAAGAACACAGTCTGACACCTGCACCTGAGATTCTGTTTCCTTGGCAAACCTTTTCCACAGGCTGAAATCTTCACATTTGTGGGGTCGGGTCTCAGTTTAGTCCCGCCCCAACAGCAGGCCAATTTGCCACATGAGGGTTTAAATATACAGAATTAAATATGGCTGCCAGTATCAATAAAAAGCATTTAATTTTGCTGAGTCGCCAACTCTATTTTGATGACAGCACTGGGGTGGCTTTATATTTAGCTAAAGATGGAGGGGAGCTCAGTATTTATGGCTGGAAACACTGGAGAGTCTCCAGCGCTGAAATCTATAGCCATAAAATTATACCACATACTGTATAATGAAACTGCTCTGTCATGATTGTGTGCCAACACAAACCAACACTCAAATATACACATCCACACATGAGCATGTGTAATCTTACGTAATCTTACGTAATGCATTACTCTTATATTGTGTGGCTGCATATCTGAATAAATGTATTGTCGCGCAACGTGTAGAGGAAAGGCACACAAAGACTAAAATCATCTACACAAGAGTTTAATAGTATCCAAGAAGATGATAATCCATGAAGGCAAAGGGAACACGCAGCAAAAAAACATCAATACCGGACAAACTAAAGGAGAAACCAAATGAGGATAATAAACTAACAAAGGTGAACTAAATGAACTAATCAAAGGACGACAGAAACTAGGTCAAGTGAAACATGAGGGAAGAAACAGATATGCAGCCACACATTTGTG